TGAGTTCTTGAATGGAAGCTCCCTGTTTAGGTGTCCTTTTCCCAAAAAGGAATGTACTGACATTTACAAGCACTGTGACCTAAAAATCAGAAGTTAGAAATGGGCCTCTGATCATCATCTGGCCTCTTGTTCAACACTGTCAGGAAATGTGGATCTTACTATTCAGCCTAGAACATTATGTCTTTATACACACACATTACACACACTGATGTGCAAATTACTCGGATTTACATACTCCCTGAGAGAGCTGCATGACCACTACCCATATCTGAACATAGTTTGTCATTCTGTCAAGTGAAAACCGTGTTCCGTGAAAAAAGAAAAAAGGCTAGGTCAGCTCAACTGCATAAATGTTTTTCCTCAGGACAACCATTACACCTTGGTATGCAGCATAAGGACTTCATGTGAACTTTCCATTTTGTCAAAACATAGAATTTTAAAAGGATATATACTCAAAGGTTAAACTTTAAGATTAGTAATTCTTACTGCTTAGCTTGTGCTACGGCACAAGCAGTTTTACCCAGTGCACCCTCAGTGTAAATACCAGTTAGGATTATTAAGTACTACTTAGTTAGTACTTAGTATTACTGGTATTGCTTTGGAAATCGGTCTCAAGAAAGGGGTTAAGAACCCTGAGATCAGTGCTTCAGAGTTGTTCTAGAAACTAGATGCTCCTGTGCCAGCTCCTCATGTGTCCTAGCCCTGTGTATGTGCTTATGTCTTGCAGACTGATGAAGAGAAAAGACAGGGGCTCCCTGTGGTGATGCCAGTGTTTGACCGGAATACCTGCAGCATCCCCAAGTCCCAAATCTCTTTCATTGACTACTTCATAACAGACATGTTTGATGCTTGGGATGGTAAGAGAGTGGTGTTTTGACACCCCAAGAGAATATTCTGTTCTACTTTATGACGATAACCTCTAAGGACATAGGCTGGGCCTGAAGGTGTATGTGAAATGTTTCTCTTAAGTTAGCTGTCAGCTGTTTGTCGCCAGGTATGATGACAAGCACATGCACACTGTGCATCCCCAGCACCTTACAGAGAACCCCTGAGTACAGAAAACTCCATGGATGTTTGATAACTGGATCCCTAAGTCTTTACTTCTTGAGAGCATGGGTTTCCAAAGCTTACAGCAGTTTTATCCTGTCACTGGAGGAAACTCCAGGAAGAATACCGAAAGAATCTGTGATTCAGAGTAGACTTCTACATTTACAGCCAGCTAAAAATGGCTCTTCCATTTTTAACTAAGAGGACCTGTTTGTGTTTCAGAAACTACTGTTTAACAACTTACCCTTTTCATGCCTGCATGTTCATGTGTAGTATAAGGCGTGACCTGGGGTGCCTCTCTTCCAATACTGGGCCTCCGTTTGTCTCATAGAGCGCCAGCCTTATAAGTGTTCTGGCAACTAACTTGTGATTCTTTTGATGTCCTTGCAGCCTTCGCCCATCTGCCAGCCCTGATGCAACATTTGGCTGATAACTACAAACACTGGAAGACATTAGATGACCTAAAGTGCAAAAGTCTGAGGCTTCCATCTGACAGCTAAACCCAAGAGAGAGAAGGTGACCTCTTGATCTGCGAAGGGCACTGTGAATCACAGTAGTGTGTAAATAAGAGGCTTTCCTTTATACTGAAAAGGACAGATGTAGGTTAAGGGGCTCGTGTTTAATATTTGACTTTGAATCATTCAGAAGCCCCCAAATTGCATTTTTAGAAAGTTATGTTAAGAAAAATATATTTTCTTTTCAACACTTAGTGACAGTGTCCTCATCAAACCATGGAGCTCATTACTATAACTAGCAGGACACAAGCAGCAAAAACTTGGTGCCTGTGAGCCCATCTTCCTGGACGACACAGCTTACCTAGTGTTCAGGTCATCTCTTACCATAAAAGTCAACATCACTGTTTAGTTTCAGAGCACCAGTCTGAAGGATTCATAAAAACACCTAAGGAAAAAATACTATTTATAAAATGAGCAAAACAACTAGGACCAAATTACTGATAAACTAGTTTGCTTCACGGCCTCTGTGGCTAAGCAGTTCTTTTGATCAAGGGTGTGACACCCAAGGTAGACCACAGCCTTGGCCTGGTGAGTGCCTTCTGTAGATTGGTAGAAGCAGCCTGTGTAGCCCTCTTTCCTATAAGAGCAATTTACCTTAACAAACAGTGAGCCATTCATGGTGGGGAAGCATCTGACACTTTGTTTGGGGGGAATCCACGAGCTTCCCTTTTTTTCTGGTTTACAGAGGCAGTCACAAGGCAGCATAGGGAGTATTATATAAAAGCCATTAAATCTGAAAGCCCTTGGATAAGCTTTTTTAAAGAAAATTTATATACATTTGCGGTTTAAAATTTTTATTAAAGCAATCTGAATTTCCTGGGTACAAGTCCATGGAGTATGTTATGCAGTGTACCATCTATATACATAATCTATTAGGGGAGGGACGGGGAAGTTTCAAGGTTCAGATGTTTTTAATCTATATTTGAGACCTTGTCATTTTGCTTTAATGATGTAAAACAGAAAAGACTGCAAGATGTGTAAATATATCAGAAAACAGACATAAGGGGAAGCAGTAAATACTATTTTAAGCTATTAATTGTATGCTAAAAGCTTCTAAAGCACAAGTGCATATTTTTATACAGCTCTTTTGAAAACTTTCTGTGATCTCCATAAAGTCAGACTTGAGATTTTCCTTTCTCTTATACCAACCACCTCTTCTCTATATATTGTAAATATTAGAAACTCCATAAACAAAATAGCTTCATTTTCCTTTCAAATCCTCTGTACTCCATGCTGCATTTTTAACAGGTATAAACAGGACTGAATTGGGATGCAGAACACTGGAAACTAGAATATGGGAAGAAGAAACTGACATCACTACATAACGTGCCAATGTTTTTTTCTATGTTTTGTACCAAAAAATGAATGACAGTCCCACGCAAAGAAATGTATCTAAATTATTTTTGTTAGATGATAAGCAAATGTGCTTGGTCAGGACAGCAGCCTGCTTTGTGTTGTAATGCTGCATTATGTAAATGTGATGAAAATGTTTTTGTGAAGTACTTGTAACTAAATTCCCACATCCGTTTTTCGTCCCCAACAGCTGTTTTTATTTCATCTCTTTGGCCTAAACTTTTATTTCAGAATTTCGCTTTAGTGTCCTTTATTTCATGAATCATACACTTTATTTCCAGACAGTTTAGGATGTCAAAATCCCATTATAATTTACCTAGGCTTCAGAAGCTTGCTTGAGGCAAGGACAATCTTTTCCTCACCATGTTGCTTTCACTTCCATTTGGTAAGTAACATTTATCAGATGTCTGACATTTTCTATAGGAATGTTACAGCTTACTCCTTATAATAAATTAATTTCATAGGAACTTAAATGTTAAATCCTCTAAAACTGCCAGGAACCAAAGCATTAACATAGCTATGCTCTATAGCACTGTAATCTTCTGAATTGCTAACCAAATAGGGCATTCCTCCATATAGTCAGGTAGAAGTCCCTTAGTACCACCACTACTTAACTAGAAAGAAGCTAGTTATAAGGTCATTCTTTACTTCCAATTTTATTTTATAAAATTCACGTGCTGTCCAAGTCAGGACTGGCCTTTACATAAGAATAAGCCTTTACATAAATGGTAGTCCTATAAACCTATCTCATTCCAGTCCTCTTTGATTTCTGCTTTTAAAGCCACTCAATGATATTGGGAGGAGGGCTAATTGCAAGGCCTAACCTGACTGGGTCTCCTTTTCCTCATTCCTAACATTAGGGCATCGGTCTGGCATAGATGACTTGAGGTCTTTCCGTCTGTGGATGGTTGGGGAAGCAACGGTCAAAGGTAAAACTGATAAAAACAACAGTTTATAGTGATGCCACTGAGGGTGTGAGTCAGCAAAAAGGAAGCGGAAGGGTCACCCACTTTTTTTATTCTTTGGTACCCAAAGAGAGAAAAGTATTTTAAGGCCGGGGGGCAGGGGTGGTGTGTGTGTGTGAGGAAGATGAACCAAGCACTTCAGGCTTACGTAAGGTCTCTGACTTGGGACAGAAGCCTTTACTGACCTAGCTGTCATCCTTGGCATGCACCTTATACACACCCTGATAAGATTTCCACTGAACTGAGGAGTCTTTTCAAACAAAACATAAAAGGCATAAACAAATTATTTGGCACCACCAACAAAGACCTGGGAATTTGTAGGAGAAAAGGTAGATTTATCACACGGATTCTTAACCTAACAGGCCCTTAGGAAAACCAAACCTTCTCATGAATGCCACAATTTTGCAGTTCTAGTTCCTCCTCCTCACAGGGTGTAGGTTCAAATTAAGAAGCTCAAGCCCAGGACTCCCCACTTCAGTACCAGCACAAAGTGCAGTCTCCATTTCCTACATGGAAGAACAGTTTTCTGGAGATTTCAGGGTTTAAATTCAAGATGTACTACATCCTACCCATTCTTCAGTGGATTTTCATTATAGTTACCATATTCATTCTGACAACAAAGGCAGGTATTTCAAATTTTTTGGTGGTAAGAATGTAGAGGCAACAAAATTATACTACATAAAGGGAGCGAGAGGTTCTGAGGACTTTTGTTCAGCTCATACAATTTCTGGTATAGAATTTTAAACCTAATTAAAATTGTTCTATACAGATGCTTATGGTATCAGTCAACATTTGTGCTCTGATCTGCATACATTCTGAAAATTCAACCCATTTCTTCAGTGGTTTCAGGTTAGTGCTACCAGAAAAGTTAAACTTACTTGCAGTATATTATTTGGTGAACTTTCTAATACCTGAGAAGCAACTTACTGCTGGTTTGCAGACCTACCACCAAAAAAAAGTTTCAAATAGAACTTTATGGAGTGACCAAAAAAAAAAATGCATTACAGGGGCACCGAGCGGGCTTAGTCAGTAGAGCATTATGACTCTTGATCTCGGGGTTTTGTGTTCAGGCCCCACACTGGGTATGGAGATTACTAAAAAATAAATAATACAACACAAATTTGAGTATTACCCTATATTTCATCTTCAAGGTTCATGCACAAGTATCCCATATTCCTTCACCTAGACAGCGAGATATAAGTCACCATTCTCCTCTAATTTTTGAAATAACTTTAAACTGCGCAACCCAGATTCTCTTTCTCCATTTTTCCACAAAATAATGAGATGATCAGCAGAGCACGTCACTAGTCCATGATCTTCAAAGTACAGAAACATCTGTAAAGAAATTTAAAGCTGCTGATTAAAAAGAAGAGGTGAGGCTAATACTAGACTAACATGGCTTATAAAATATGTACCTTGGAGATTTCTTTGGATCTGAATATAAAAACTCTTCATTTTTCATGAGAAATTGTGTAAAATGGCTATTTCTATGTGACTAATGCCTTGTATTTTAATATTTTTTTTTTTTGGAAAATACATGAATTCCCAATGAATCTTCTCAATTTTACCATAATCTAATTCTTCAAGTATTGGTTTTATGTCACAAGTCCAGCCAGAACTGCTTCATCCTTTATTTATGCACAAATGGCTACCAGAAAATGTCTGAATTCCAAATTCTATGAGATAAAAACTGGCTTCAGCTCTCCAATCAGTCCATAAGGATTTACTTAGGGAACCCAGCATATAGGATGGTACGACCATGAAGAAGGTTCTGGTTCAGTTGTAAAAACGAAATCACAGTTAAAACAAAGACCATGTAATCAGGCACTAAAAAATGTAGTTCACACTATGATTTGCCACAGAGAAAGGGAACATAGATCAGTAACCACTAAAATTGTCAAGCTTCAAAAACATAAAACTTCCCAAGTAAAGGGACGGTCAGGCAGCATGAACACCAATGTATAATAGAGCAGAGCTCCTCAAAGCCAAGAGTGAAATGAAGGATAGAAATAGAAAATTAACAAGAGGAAGAGAGTTTTCAAAGCTGATGCTGTGTAAGAGGGGCAAATACTACAGGAGATGGAAGAAGTTAGAAGGCTCGGGAGTAAGGATGAAAATGTAAAAGGAATGAGGAAATTTACAAAGTAGCACCTAAAAGAGAGCCAAAATTTCAGAGAATCCAGAAAATTCCTCAGGTCTACATTATAGCAAACAAACGTGCCACTTGGAAGGTTTCCTCCACCATTTAAAAACCTTTAATGGGTACCTACTATTTTAAAAAATAAGTCCAAATTCTTCAGCTGACTTACATACAAGGACAGTCATAATCTGACCCAATACTACTTTCTCAGGTTTAACCTCCTACTGGGGTCTATTCACAGGAAACGTCTGCTCCAGCCCAGCCAGTCTGCTCCTTGCACTTCTGTCCTCACTCCCCAACTACACTGTCACCACCTAAGCAAAGTTAAAAAGCAGAAAAAAAATGAAAACAACTGGACTACCTGTTTGAGGAAAAAGCAAAGATAAACAAGACAGGATACCCAACATCAGGGAACTTACAGTCACTTAATCCTCCCTAACCTTCAAGGTACAGGTCAAGTCCGCTATCTATCTTCCACTAACCATTTCCTCCTAATTCCTGAGTACTCACTGTCTCCCATCATCTGGTCTGTCGGTAACAACTTACTAGATCTATAACCTTCCTCTCTACTCAAGTAGGAGATCCAAGAGGGTAATGTTTCTTTGTAAACTCCAGGGTCTAGTATACCACCTAAAATAGAAGAAATGAATACGAAGCATATATGTACTTTCAAATGAAAAGTAATCCGTTCCTCCTCGGCAATGAAACAGGGAAAAACAATTCTAAGAAATTCAATCCTGAGGGCTCTGCTTCTACTCTTATCAGTTCCAATCATCTCAACCGATCTTATTCCTTTCATTATACGCAATGGTGCATATAGTAAAGTATTAATGTATTTGAATTTCCCCAAGTTGGAACTGTATACCTCTTATAATTCTCAACTAATATTTTCATATATGCACAGTGATAACCAAGACCCTGGGTCTTACGAAGCTAACAAAATAGAATCCTTCAAAAGTAATTACAAACAGCATTCTGCTCTTGAATTTGAAAAAGACCCCTGGAATTCCATTCTGTAAGACTTTAAATATATAACCCCAACTGTCCACTACCCTCTATCACTGTTATGCATATGTATTCAAAATTATTTACATTGTCACATTGTCAGCTGTCTCCCATCTCATAAACAATGGTGATTAAGCCCAGAAGTAACACATTTCTTGCTTCCTCACATCATATCTCTAAAGGGAAACCTTAGTTCCACGTATTATAACCTATGGATGTTTAGATTCAGCAAAAACCTACAGAAAAAATTACAAGTCTTTATGATACCAACTGAATGAACAGCAGTGAGACGTCAAAGCCGGAACTCCCTAAACCTTTATATGCCTATTAAAAATAATACCTCCACAGATGAGGAGTGTCCAATCAAATCTCCAATAAGCTCCAATGAATACGTAGTGGCATTTTCCTGTTGCTTTTTAACAGGTTGGCTGGCTTGTTTGTTTACTCTTCCAAATCCCCACATGTTAAAAAAACCTAGAAGAACAATCATTTCAATAATTACAGCATTCTCTACTCAAAAGATCAGAGAAAACTGAAAATTTAAATGCAAAGATATTCTGTACATGACTTTAGTCAAGGGCTAAGGGGATGTACCAGACACTAAGCTATAGTTCTTTTTAATATGTTACTTCCTTTCATCTTAACTACCAGGTTTGTTGCTCATCTCTTTTATTGCCCCTCCTCACCTACTGAAGGTGTATTAACATGGCAAAAAGGCACTGGGAATAAAAGAGGAGAGCAGTAAAAGGCCTGAATGCCAGTGACAGACACACACACAAAAAAGATCACAACTCAGATCTATCAACAAAGGGTAGATGAAAAGCAACATGTGTGTCCAAAAACAAGCTCCTATGTTCAGATGACCAGAAGAAATTCCAGAGGTACTAGCATCTGATTTCCTATGCAAAGGATGCTAATAAACCAGGATTTTGTTTTTCAAACCAAACACCTGCAGGTCAAGAGCTCAGGAGATTATGATATAAATACCAAAGTGTGTTTTTCCACAAATTAAGTTCAATGTTAATGCTTCTAGGCTGAAAGAACACTTTATATAATATGATAACGGATGGTATAAATCCCATTTGTGTATCAAGCATTATGATAGACAATAAAAAGTGAATAATTACTTCAATGGGCCATTCGTTCAGATTACCAAAAACTAAGAGCCTCCCTTAAAACAGTAAAATACTAGCTGACTTGAACTGAAATAAACAAGCAGTTCTCCATTAAAGCAACATTAAGATGTGAATCTGAGATCCCAATTAGCATATGCTTCATGCAAAATGCCTATTTGGAGCACACTGTATATTATTCCTGTGGCTGCACTTAACTGCCTTTCATAGGAGAACAGACACACCTGTTGGCGCAGGTTCAGCTGCAAGCTGCTGTTTTTCTCTTAACTCCCAAATGCGTACACTGCCATCTTCCGAGCATGAGATTAACTGCCTGTCAGGAAAAAAAAAAAAATCAGTGAAAAAAAGAGAGGGCACAAGAAGGGCCAATGCTAAATTTAAAGTGAAAAGAAATCAGCGGAGCCCTTAACTGTTTCTCTTCAGCTCGTGGCAGGAGTTGACAAAAATCACTATTTCACATGGCTTTACAATGCAAAGTAAAGCCACCCTTCGGGAAGGGCACATGTGATACTGTCCCACTGGCTCAAATGTGATAAATATATCATCCCATTTTCAAAAATGTTTTCAGGAAAACAGTATGAATTAATTACACTTGCACAATATCCTGAACAGTTCCTTTCCCTCTTGTCACTATATCTCTTCCTAGGGTGGCTCTCAAAGAATCCTGCAGAGAAAATAGTATTCCCCTCCTACCATTTCATCCCTGAAAACTCAGAAACCAAATTTACCCTGACAGGAAACCCCTCGCTTAGCCCCTCATAAAAAGGAGATGACCATTTCTTTCTGGCCATCAACAACTGCAACAATAAAATGGGTATATGGAAAATACCAGAAGAAAAATGAGCACATAGTGCCCAAAGTCTTTTGTCTTTTTAAGTAAATACCAAATTTTAAATTTATCTCTTCTTATAATAAAATTCAACGTAATTCATCTGAACCCTACTTCTTGTAAATTTTTTAACACCTTGCCACAAACTCTCTTGTTAGAGACAGCCATGAAATTTCTCCATTTCCAAAAGAATCTAACAGGTCAAACCATGGAGCCAAATAACTGCCACTTATGAAATTACCGTGGTGGCCTGGGAAGTGTAAGTTTATTTCATTCGTTGTAGAACAGATGGGAACATGTACCTGTTTGGAAGTTTGGCAATGTGCAGGACACTGGAGTCGTGGGCAGTTTTCTGGCAAGCAATCACACGCTTCATTTGAAGGTTATACACATATAAGCCTCTTCCAACTGCAGCAAATACATTCTGATGGGGGAAAGTTCAGAAATGGGCATAAAATTAGTCCTTACCACTACGTGGCACAACAGACTTCCAGCCCTGCTATGACCTCAGAAAGCCACTGTTCCCTTCCCTATTCCTCGCTTTTAGTCTAGGTTACTGTACTGCCCCCTGAAGTCCAAAAACATCGTAGCACAAAGGCAAGCTCAAAGCATTTAGAAGGTAGGACACAACCACTAATAAAGAGGAAGTTCTGTATATTACACCCCTTAGCATCACCTCCTTCCCTCACAGAAATATGACAGAGGCAAGAACTCTGGCTGCAGGCTGGCGGTACAGCGGAAGCTGCTGAGGCACAACCCAGGTTTTCATTCAGCTAACACTGTATCGTTAGGAAAATTACTTAGCTTCTTTTGCCTGGAAAATGTTAGCAAAATACCCACACTCCACATCTTAAGAATGCAAGAGACCTATAAAGGACACAAAAAAATCATATGCTATAGGGGCACTATCATCTTAAGAATGATTCTCTGAAGGATTCACAAAAAACATTTTTCCAAATGTACTATTAGAAATACCTTTTTTTAAAAATATATATATATTTTTTAATTTATTTCTAGGAGAGAGAGAGAGAGAGAGAGAGCGTGAGCAGGGGAGGGTCAGAGAGAGAGGAAAAAAAAAAACTGAAACAGGCTCCAGGCTCTGAGCTGGCAGCCAGCACAGAGCCCGATGCGGGGCTCGAACCCACGAACCGCGAGATCATGACCTAAGCGAAAGTCGGTCGCTTAACCGACTAAGCCACCCAGGCGCCCCTAGAAATACCTTTTTACTAAAATAACTTTAATCTTTGGAAAGTACGTTTACCAATACTTATCTTCTTATAGCCTAACATCTCATTCAGGTAGAGAAAGCAAGTACTAATGCCATCTGCCAGAGAAACAAGTTGAAATTTTAAAAGAAAATTAAAGTCACCCAGGAAGTTAAGATATAGAGCTGATATTGGAATCAAGGTCATGTTACTCCAATCCCTTGCCTTCGACTCACAGCACACCACCTAGCTTCTGAAATTATTTTGCACATCACTAGACTTTTGGTAGCACTTGCATGAGAATCCTTTTCTTCTGCAATAGGTACCCCAGTGAGGGAGACCTTTCAAAAATCCCTAAAATCTAGCCTTTGTGTTTTTACCAAAAAATTCTTCTCATGCAGCTTTCAAACCCGACTCAGACCTATAGTATCTAGACCACAACATGCCCTCAAGGCTTACCAGAGTCTGTCTGTGGAAAGATCCCCTTGATTCTTGGGATCAGTACTCTGTATTTAGCAAGGCAAACTGAGGGCCAGTGTCAGGAGCATTAATGAAAACTGGCCAACTGTGCTAAAATCTAGAGCCTTATGGGTAGCAATTCAAATGCACAGAAACCCCAAAGTTCCACAAACCAGGAAATCTGTGCCGTTTAAGTGATGTACCAAAGAGCACAAAGGAAATTATAAATACAGCCGGAGAATTAAGGAGCTCTTGGGCAGCTATTACTCAAGAGAGTCACTCGATCAATCACCTATCACCAATAATTAATGTCCCCTTATAGAAAAAACAAACCCCCTATAAAAGAAGATATACCAGGAAAAGCTGAGTAATGCTTTATCCACCATTTATAGCAGTTAATACACATCCATCAAAATTTGAGAGAATAAAAAGAATACAAAAAAACTTCTAATACTAATTTTTACAAGCAAAAAAGGTATCAAATAAAAAACATAAATTTTAGGGCCATACCTCTTATTTAATCCAACCAAAAATTTCAACAGTTTTTAAATTTGTGGATTTGTAATCACTTCCTTGCCTCACAGACAGAAGCTAAGATTAAAATGCTTTTTTAATGCAACTTCTGCAATCTTTGAAAAATATCAGAACTTTTTTTTTAACGTTTATTTATTTTTCAAAGACAGAGACAGAGCATGAGTGGGAGAGGGGCAAAGAGAAAGGGAGACAGAATCCAAAGTAGGCTCCTGGTTCTGAGCTGTCAGCACAGCACCGGACATGGCCTAACTGAGGCTCAAACTCACCAATCCTGAAATTATGGCCTGAGCTGAAGTTAGACACTTAATCGACTAAGCTACCAGGCACCCCGAAAAATATCAGAACACTTTAAAGCCCAACTTGAACATGGGAAATGAAACCTTTTTATATCCATCATGAGATTAAGTTTAAAAAATTCCTACTCAGGGGGCGCCTGGGTGGCTTAGTGGGTTGAGCGTCCGACTTTCGCTTAGGTCATGATCTCACGGTTCCGTGGGTTCGAGCCCCGCGTCGGGCTCTGTGCTGACTGCCAGCTCAGAGCCTGGAGCCTGTTTCAGTCTGTGTCTCCCTCTCTCTCTGACCCTCCCCTGCTCACGCTGTCTCTCTCTCTCCTAGAAATAAAATATTAAAAAAAAAAAAAAAATTCCTACTCAGGTTATTATGTCATGATTCATGAGTTCAGTCCCCACATCAGGCTCTGCTCTGACAGCACAGAGCCTGCTGAAGATTCTCTCTGTCTGCCCCACTCTTTCTCTCTCTCTAAACTAAACTTTAAAAAATGAGAAACTGGGTTTATTTTAAAAAAGGTAAGTTTAGAGATTATTTTCTCAATTTTTTTTTTTGTTTTACCTCTTCATCCCATGTGAAGTGATGAATAGAAATGTCATTCGGTTTTTGACAGAGTTTTATTTCTTGCTGAGTGTCCAGCTGTGGAGATGGGTCCCAGAAGTTGCATTCACGGGCCTGCACTGTCCAGTCCAGAATATTCCAGATGATCATTTCTCCAACATGGGAGCCAGTTACAAAACTCAAATCTAGGCAGAGTTCACATGTGTCTCATTAGTGATCATTTTACATAAGCTAAAGTAAAAAAGAAATAGACTGCCTAGTAGTAATGGTCCATAAAGCCACAATATTTAGAATAGTGAGGTACCTAGACAAGCCAAACAGAAAGATCAATATAACCAGAACAGCAAGACGAGAAACAGACTCACGTTTACTTATTTAGTGTGTCATAACAGCATTTCAATTCAGTGAGGAAAGAAATGCCTCATGCTGGAATATTTGGTTAACTGTTTGAGGAACAGAAACAAAAGAACCTTATCTTGGATCATGTACTGTTTAGAAAATAGACCCTTCTCCTATGTCTCTCTTTTACTCCCATACTTACAACGCTTCTGATACCAGATGTTGTATATGTGGGGGGAGTAGGGGGGTCCCACACTAAGCAATTCTGTGACACCAGCTGAGTGTCCTACAACTTAATTCATTTCTGACACTTTACCTGGAGGAAGCATCAGATCCCACAGGTTAAGGGCTCAGTCCCAAAAGACTCCCTTTACTTCAGATGCCAACTCCAAGTCCAGGTGGTTACCTGTGCTTCTACCTGTCAGCTATAAGTCAGAGGCTCTCACATCCCCTCCTTGGGTTCAATTAATTTGCTAGAGAAGCTCACAGATCTCAGGAAAACAGCTGTTTACCAGTTTATCATAAAATACAAGAAAAGACCAGAATGAACACCCAGATGGGTATGTGGAGGAAGGCTGTGGAGCTTCCATGCCCTCACTCTTCCAGCACCTCGACATGCTGGGCAATCTGGAAGCTCTCCAAACCCCGTATATACTGTTGGGATTTTTATGCAGCCTTCATCATGTAGACATGATCAATTATTTCATTTCTAGCCTCTCTTTGGAAGATAAGGGGTGGGCTAAAAATTCCAAGTTTCTAATTATGGCTGGTCCTTCTGGAGACCAGCCCCCATTCAGAAGCCCACCAAGAAAGAATGGTCTCATTAGAACTACAGAAGTCACTACTGTCACCTTGTCACATTCCAAGAAAGGTAGGAGCTCTTGTGTCAGCAAATATTAGACTAAATATTAGAACAAAAGATGCTCCTTGAGATCTTACAACTTAGGAAATTACAAAGGTTTTAGGAGCTCTTTGCCAGGAACTGGGGGCAGAGACCAATATATATTTTTCTATTATTTTACATATGCCAAAGTAAGTTTCAAATACATTAAAACATTAAAAGTGCTTAAAGGATTGCAAAAATAAACGTAGATGCTTTTTATAAACATGGAGTGCTAAGAAGCTCTAAAGGAGGCAGGGTGGGGAAAGATACACACGTAAATATCTGCTTAATGAAAAAAATAAATGACAAAAGGCTGAAAAAAATTTGCAAATCAGATATCAAAATGGGTTTATTATATACATAAGGAGTTCCTGGAAACCAAATTTTGATAAATACTCCAGCACAGAAATTGGGCAAAACACCTAAACAGGCAAAACAAAAAATACAAATGGTCAGTTAACATGTAAAAAGGTGTTCAATTCCCTTAATAATCAAAAAAATCTAAAAGCAGTAAGAGGGGCATCTGGGTGGCTAGTTGGTTAAGCGGCCAAATTTGGCTTCCGTCGTGATCCCACAGTTCCTGAGTTTGAGTCCTGCAACTGGCTCTGTGCACTAACAGCGCAGAGCCTCCTTCAGATCCTCGGTCTCCCTCTGTCTCTCTGCCCCTCCCCAGCTTGCTTGTACATGTTCTCTCTCAAAAATAAACCAAAAAAATAAATCAGTAACTTGAAAATTGGGAAAGATTAAAAACAGGAAAATCCCCAATGCTAGCAAAAGCACAGGGCATCAGCATACTTCCGTACTACTAATGTCCCAGTATAAATTGGTACAATCCTTTCAAATTTGGTGATATGCATCAAAACCTTTATAAAGAAGTATAAACCCACTGATTCAACAATTCCACTTCTAGGAATTTATCCTGAGGAAAGCGCATAATATATGTAACAAGGCTATTATACATAATATTAAAAGTGTGAAGATAATCTAAACATCCAATTGGGAACTGAATAAAACATCTACAAAATTAAACAGTAACACTGTTATTAATTTTTTTTAATGTTTTTTATTTCTGAGAGAGAGAGAGTGGGCAAGGGAGGGTCAGAGAGAGAGGGAGACACAGAATCTGAAACAGACTCCAGGCTCTGAGCTGGCTGTCAGCACAGAGCCCGACATGGGGCCCCAACCCACAAACCGTGAGATCATGACCTGAGCCAAAGTCGGACATTTAACTGACTGAGCCACCCAGGCACCCCAGTAATGCTGTTATTAAAAATTGAGTTCTAGGGACACCTGGGTGGCTCAGTCAGTTAAGAGTCTGACTTCAACTCAGGTCATGATCTCATGGATCATGGGTTATAGCCCTGAGTCGGGCTCTGTGCTGACAATGTGTAACCTGCTTGGGATTCTCTCTCCCTCTCTCTCTGCCCCTCTCTAACTTGCACTTTCTTTCTCTCAAAATAAACCTAAAAAAAAATTTAAGTTGTAAAAGTATGTTTATATTGCTATGTAAATACATTCATGACATACAGTTCCAAACAGTGAGACATATGGATATAAACATACATATGCTCAGAAAAACACCTAGAAGACTATGGACCAGTGCTTAATACTGTAGCGTGGGACAATTTTCATTTTTACACACTTAATGTTTCTCATTCTTTTCTCATTACTATGACTATGTATTACTTTTACAATGACAAGTTTTTATAACCTTAAAATGAAATTAGTGGACCAACTAAGACACTATAAATTATATATTTAATAGAAAGTGTACAACTGCTGACACTAAAAATTATCTTAAAGAAATGTAATTTATTTTAACCCTTACATGTTTAGGTAAGAGGGAAGAGAACAATACGAGTCTAAAAACTCAAGTTCTAAATATGGCTCTGTTACCAGCCATCTAGTTCTCAGAAAGTCATTTAACCTTTCTCTGTCTTGGATTTCTCATGCATTAGATGAAGATGATGGTTAAAAATCCAATAATAAATGTGTAGCTACTTAAAAAAGACATCAAACACATTATCTTTGAGTCTCTGGAATTATTCCGAGCTTCTAGTATTATTCCAAATTAATGGTATTAAAACCTCCAGTTGTTTGTAATTTAGGAATACAAGTATGAATAATGATTTAATGATTCCATTACCAAATAAAGCAGGACAGAAATATCTAATAATTAGATGAACAGTCTCTTAGAAATGAAAAATTGCCAGCAATCATACATGTAAATATTATTTTGTCTTGGTTCCAAGACCAAATTCTATAGTTTATTAACAGACTACAGAATTTGTTATGTGAAGATAACTCCATTTTTCATCTATGCAGAAAAACAAGTTTCTAATTTTAATAGTGGGACAGTTAAAGCTGTACTACTCTTTCCATGACCTTCTTTTCCATCCGTTTCCCTCCCCTTTGCAATTTCATTCAAACTACAAAGGAACCAAAGTCATTACGGAGCAAAGATTCTTGACACTAACTCTGCATGTCATCATAACAGAGTTAACTGAACTGGAGACCACATGGCTGTCTGCTCTGACTTAATCTGCCCAAGTGTCTGTGATTCATCTATGCAAAAGAAACAAAAGTATTTGTGCCCAGGTGGAATTTTTCACTTAAAACAAAATAGGAGCATTCAGCTAAGTCAGTAGTTTTATTACTACAAATTTATCACTATATATGTTCTCAAACAGGTCGCTCAGAATATTTCACACAAAACAACCTCAATGATACATATGGATGGATTTTCATCCTAGTTACTATCAAAAATCACTTAGTATGGGGGCGCCTAGGTGGCTCAGTTGGTTAAGCATCTGACTTCAGCTCAGGTCATGATCTCGCAGTACGTGGTTTGGAGCCCTGCATCAGGCTCTGTGCTGACAGCTCGAAGTCTGGAGCCTGCTTGGGATTCTGTGTCTCTCTCTTCTTTGTCCCTCACACTCTGTCTCTCTCTCTCAAAAAAAAAAAAAAAGTCACCTACTATGAACTCCCATTCTTATATCTGTCTACCTTCCCTCACAAGTACTAATAATTTGTGATTACCATACCATACTGTCAACACAAAACAAGGAATAAAATCAAGGACCAGACCCTTTTGCCAGAAAATATTAACATTATTTTGTATGTCTGTGTTAGAAACCCCTCTGCTCGGGCATTCAGATCTCTTTTTCATTCATCATCAGATTCTCTGTTATTCATTATCCACATCTGTGGGAATTCTGTCCTATCATTCTAAGGTTGCCTGGGGCCTCCTCCATGAAAGTGCACTTTGAGTGTGAAATACAAACCCAGTAACTAGCCACATCTTCCACTGTGGGAAAAAGAAACAGGGCTGAGGGTGGAGCTGAGAACTGTACAACATAATAATTTCAGGATCGCTGAAATCTGCAGCACAGCAAACCTACCTATGTACAAAATAAGACTGTCACAGTATCATTTTCACATTTTAACAGACTACTAGACCATACAGGATTCCTCAAGATGCTTATGGCTTATTTATTATCTGTAGTGTAATTTTACAATCAGGGAGTTAATAAAGCAAAAACTACTAGGGGTTTCCTGTGATTTTCATTAACAATATTTTTGCTTTATGTTTCCATTTTCCTTCCTTTAAGAAGTTGGCAAAGAAATAGTTCTTGGTTAAAATGTTATAAGATTCTTTACATATCGCACAGCAGAAGTGTCATGAAGCTAAGACCTCTTCATTAACATCCCATCACCTTCATTAAGGAACCATGCTAGATCAATGGTACCAGTGCTTTACCACTAAAAGAGAACTAGGCATGACCAGTGTAATGGGCCAGGACACTGCTCACATTTTTTTTAGCAGCTCCAGGGCCCTGGAATTTAAGACTCTGTGTCAGAGGGTCTCCCAAATAAGAACTTGTCTTTTGGGCTGCCATCCATGGCTAGAGGAAAAGAGAACCCCTAGAGAAAAATAAAAGGGTATTCCCAACATGTTAACTTCTATCACCAAGACCATCTGGTCCTTAGAAAGACTTGCTGCTGGGTTGCGTAAGAAAACGGCTATTAGACAAGAGGATTTTGGAGTTGGGAAGGACATTCTCACACATGTACCTAAAAATGTGATTAAATGGCATACACATGGAGAGTACAACCGGTGCTATCTGTGCCCCTCTTTCCTTTTGCCTCATGGTTATACAAAATTGCTCAAAAAGAGCCAAACCAGGTCTCAGGTCAGGGAGTGCAGTCCAGTCCTCCTACTACATTCTATTCATGGCATCCTCACAAAACTCTTAGTTTCCGGGGTGCCTGGGTGGCTCAGTCGGTTGAGCGTCCGACTTCGGCTCAGGTCACGATCTCATGCTTCGTGGGTTCAAGCCCTGCGTCGGGCTCTGTGCTGACAGCTCAGAGCCTGGAGCCTGCTTTGGATTCTGTATCTCCCTCTCTCTAACCCTCCCCTGCTCACACTGTCTCTCTCTCTAAGAAATAAACAAAACATTAAAAGAAAAAACCAAACCAACAAACAAAAAAAAACCTCTTAGTTTCTTTCAGATTATCAAACTGAAGCCACCAAGGAAGGACTCTTCTTGTTGACCCTGGAATACCAATCACCCAGTCAGAGTTCTGATGATACAAGGTGTCATTTTACTTCAAAGTAAGCCAAACAAATCCCAGGAATGGTAGTGTGATCCAATTCTGCCATCTGATGACAGATTCAGCTTCCAGGGGACAGTGATTAAAATCGCTGTGAAGCCGGAGCGCCTGGGTGGCTCAGTCAGTTAAGCGTCCGACTTCAGCTCAGGTCATGATCTCACGGTTCGTGGGTTCGAGACCCGCATCGGATTCTGTGCTGACAGCTCAGAGCCTGGAGTCTTCTTTGGATTCTGTGTCTCCTTCTCTCTCTGCCCCTCCCCCACTCATGTTCTGTCTCTCTCTGTCTCAAAAATAAATAAACTATTAAAAAATTTTTTTTTCTTAAAATCGCCATGAAGCCAAATAAGATGCCTGGCAAGTCAAAACATACAAGAACGAGAATGGGCAGATATGACCCAATTTCTGCAGTCCTTTACTTTATCTTGATGTTATTCTCTGGCAGTCTTCAATCATGACTGCAATCCACTTGAATTCTGTTCCTACTGCTCTAAATGTCTAACTTGCTACATAGTGTTACACTTTGTGGGTCTACAAAATAAATGGCCAGAACCATCTGCCAAAAATGCTGAAATGCTACTCGGCATTAGTACTAATAGCCTAGGACAGTCATCCCACAGCTATCATGCAGCACCTGAGATAATTATGCTCCCCTCCATCATCTTTATTCACTGCCTCACTCTATTCTTCTTGGGCCCACATCTTAGGCCTACCAACCTATAAAACTTGATCAATTCCACTGGCATAAACCTCTGAGTATATTAGACTGCTGACCCTTACTTGTCTAAAGCATTATTTTAATGATGGTAATTAAAGAATCCTAGAACAAAACAAGACCAAAGTTCTGTCAGCAAGTGCAAAATTTTACATAATATAAACATATACACAATAAGCTTACCATTGACATTAACCAATGAGAGAATATTATCCTGGTGATCAAGGAGGCGTTTAATTTCAAGAATATCCCATTCTAGTGATTCTCCTGCAGGTGCCACCAGCCTGAAAATTACTAAATAAAAATACATATATAATTTTATTAAAATGGTCAAAGAAGACACAATTCTATTTCTGCTAAAAAAAAAATCTAGTATTTCATTAAGTGAGAACGATGTAAAATACGGAAAAACCCATCTCCAAAGAAAGCCTTATTCATACCAGAGTATTTCTTTCAAATGCTTGAGATGTTTGAGATGATCTGCTAAAATCCCAAATGAGTGTGTCTTTACAACTGTTCTTTTATTAAAACTCTTCTAAACCCAGTACCAACCAGAAGTCCCCATCCTCTCTGGGGCTTCAAGACATGTCTGGCTAACCCGACTCCCTCTCTCCTTGGTCAGTGTCTGGTCCACATTTCAGAATCATCTGAAATTTTTGTGTGTCAATATTCAATGGGTTGCTTTAATATACTTTTGACTATAAGAGATGTTCAATGTGTTGCTTTACTTGCTATCTGACATTAACAAATAGTTTTATTTAAACTTGTATAAATTCTAACTAATCAATACAGAAAACCCAAAAATCAAATCAAAGGAGTGATTCTTTCAACACTTACTAAATACCTATTGTGTTCCAGCAACTTAGATATCAAATGTGAACAGTCCTCAGTCACTGCCCTGAAAAACATTGTAGAGTGCAAGTGAGACTTATAAACAAGCTTATAGTAATGGATTAAGGGCTGGAAATAAGCCAATGTACCAAGTGCTATGGATGCTCACAGATTAGGATGACTAATATCTGACAAGTGGGAAGATCTCATAAGTCAGATCCCTTCCAGGTGGTGGTTAATTTCTAGAGTTTCTCTTTTTTCTCACATTCCTCTCTGGAAAATAGGTCATACCACATTCCTTTCTATGTCTTTGGACAATATTTTACCAACTGACAAATCTCTAGTAAAGAGTTATTTCATCCCAACAGCTATTCACATTCAAACTGTGGCTGTCAAACAAAGGTCTTTCAGCAAATAAAAGAGAACTCTTCTTAATACCTGTCAAACTCATGTAAAAATTCTTATAGTTGGAATACTACTAAAGGAGATTGGGATTGTGGAAAAATGGGCAATGTACTATTTAATCAAACTAACAAAAAGTAACCTCAAATATAGAGAAGAAACAGAAACCTCCTTTGTAGGTTTCCACAAAGGACTACCAAGTACTGAAGATAATGTGAAACTGTTCAGTGAACCCATAAGTATGGTCCCTACAGACAAGTATTCATAGGGTCACCTATGTAGTAACTTCAAGGAAGTAAGACAAATATAAATTAGATCCTCTCCAAAAGAGAACAAATAGTCAATTGTAAAAAATGCTTAAGAACAAAAGCCTGGTCTTTTGAACCAAGATGAAGTGTCAGAGCTGAAAGCCTTGTTTTTTAGCTTCACAGTCACTGTAACATGTGTACTCACAAGTTGTATTTCCTGTTGAAAGGAGCCCAGCCTCACACAGAAAAAGAGAAATTGGTATGGAACATTTAAAACCAAGGAAATGGGCACAAGCTTGGTCTTGGAAATAGAAAAGACACTCTATTTACAAGAATGAAATGTATTTTTATATAAGGAAAAATGGCACAATATTTTATAATAAAACTAATAAAATGCAGGACCTTGTTGTTAAGATTATGTATTTTTACACATTATTTTCTGAATATAACCAATTTTCTTTTTTTTTTTTTTTAACATATCTCAACTTCCTTTGAGGCAGTAGTAATCCTTTTATTACCACATAAATGAATTGACTCAATTACTCATACATTCAATAAAAATCTCCCATCTTTTAACAGAAAGACAAATAAGAAGCTCTAGTTGTCAAGGAGCTCACATTCTGCAGGGAGTTGCAAGGAGAGCACAAAAAGAAAAGAGAAGTCTTTTTTTTTAAAGTAGTAAGTGAAATGACACATAAGATTATGAGAACACAGGAGAAAAACTTTTGGGAGTAGAGATGATTGGTAAGCAAGCCTTTAGCCTCAAAAAATGTCATCCTAGAGCTAAGCTCTTAAAGAGTAAGTAGGAATTAGCAACATCAAAGAGGACAATGAGTAGGGGGAAAAGACCTGACACCGAAAGACAGGAGAAATAAAGGCGAAGGGGTAAGAATCACCTCAGATGGGAGAACCCAGGGCAATGCACTGCTGACAAACACATGATACAGGACTCAGAGGAGGGAGAAGGAAAAGAATAAATAACTAGATGTGATCTGCTAAAAAGTCTAGATTTTATCTTACTTGTGGTCTTATACTGGTCCCCTGGAGCAAAGATTTCATTCATTTAAGGCAAAACTGAGAAAAAATAAGGGCCATATACATTTTGTACAAAAATATATTCAGTTTAAAGTCCTATTTTTTGTTGAGATCACATTCTTCATACTTTTTTTTTTTAACGTTTTATTTATTTCTGAGAGATAAGAGACAGCACGAGCAGAGGAGGGTCAGAGAGAGAGGGAGACACAGAATCAGAAGCAGGCTCCAAGCTCTGAGCTGTCAGCACAGAGCCCGATGCAGGGCTCAAACCCACAAACCGTGAGATCATGACCTGAGCCGAAGTTGGACACTTAACCAACTGAGCCACCCAGGTGCCCCATTCATACTTTTTTAAGAAGTAATTTTTACAAAGTTACTGGTAATTTTGGATGATGGTAAGTGATAGCTTGCTTTTGTTGTTGTTTTTATATTTAATGATTTTAGTAAGCAAAATACAAATTTGGGAACCTTAAGGTGATCTCCAAAAAGATGAACTACTGTACGTGTCAGAAATTTGAGAGTTTAGAAATGACTGCTGTAGGCAACAGAGGCAGGGGAATAACATGCCTTTTAGAGAGGTCACCCCTAGCAACTCCTGGAAAATGTATCTGAGAAACCCAAAGCCAGAGGAGGAGAAGCTACTGGAGAAGCACTACAGTAGAGGAAGGAAGATAAAAGCTAGGAAGGAGGTTAGCACAACAGAACAGGCAAAAGGGGAAATGAGAGCCTGAAGACCGCAAAAGCAGTGAGATGGAAAGAAGAGGATCAAAGTATTTGGGGCAGAAGTCCACAAAGTACAGCCTCCAGGCCAGCAACCTTAGCACCACCAAACCTCTTCCCAAGAAAACGGGCCCCACTCTGGCTTCCTGAGGCAAAAACGCCACAGTTCCTGCCTTAGTGACTTCCCACAATAATCATCCTTCAACCCTCCCAACTCAAGTTTTGAGTTTCCAGAATGCTGATAGTTGCTTTATGTGGTCAAAATTTTGGCTAAGTATAGGAGTATGGATCAGCAGCAGAGAGGACTGTGGAATGTAAACAGCCTTCTCTGTTCTCAGACATACAGGGTTACTGTGCTCCATTTGGCTATGTTAGACCAAGCACAGTACAAAAACTGACCTAACATCTTGAAAATGTCTCAGTCTTCATATCACTTCCAACAACCACAGGTCAAGACTTGGGCAGAGGCAGATGTCCCTTAAATAAAAACTTGTCTTTCTAAAATGTCTATACAAGTCTACTTTTAAATTTTCTTAAAAAGAAAATAAAAGAAAAAGAGTCATACTCACTCAGTTCTTTGCCAACTGCTGCCACAACACAGTTCTTAGGTATTTCGATCAAAGCACTGATCCCTTCAAAAATATATACAACAGTGGTCAAATTATTTTCAAGGATTACACCAAAAATAAACACATTCTCAGATTTACGCCAGTCATTTCCCATAAAAGGGTTGTAACAATAAAGCACACCCAATATACTACATCACTCTTCCCTACTCACCTGCAAATGGAAAATTAATCTCTGATAATATGAGAGACCTAAAGAAGATGCGGATTTCCTAAGGGTAGAATATGCTCTGTGGACACTTTTCACTTTTATGGTCAACTTTTTTTTTAAACCAGGAATCCCTTAAGATAATCACCAATTACAAGATGACTAGCTCAAAGAAGATATAAAGTTGCCATTTTCCTCGATGTAAATTTAAAAGCCTAAGCAAGCTACCTGGCAGTAAATGAGTTAAGTCATAACAGCCATCAGCTAAGAAAATGGCCTTCAGATACCACATTTATAAACAAGCAAGGAGCTTCATGAGAAAAAGGTCTAATAGCGCTGCTAACTCAATGGCATCCAGTAATTTGGAAAACCCGTATCATGAAAGGCTCACCAACAGTAACCTATGGCCTTCTCAAAGCTTTCTAACAGATTTTCTCAAACGTTTCCACTATCTTTTGAGACACGGATAAATAGGACAATACTGTGATTATTTAATAGTTCTCAAAGATAACTTGCAAAAGAAAGGGAGACGGCAATTATAGGTGGTTATTTCCATTATCATACAAAACACTCTTGTTAGTTCTGATTTCATTATTTCATAACACAGTTACTAATAATTAATGTAATAAAATTCACAGGTAACCACAGATTAGTGTAAGAAACAGAAGAAAATATACAACTCATGAGATATAACAGGAAACACAAAAATACAATCTACATACTTCCAAGATTACTAGTGATCAAACACTTAATTGAAAGGTAAAACTGTAAATCCTAGAAAGGTACTTAGTTTTGTTAAGACATCTTAGGGGAGATAAGTTAGCTCCAACTGTGAACTGTAAATTCAATTCACAGGGCTCCTGCTATCTTTATGATATCAATATGCTTAATAATATTCTCTCTAGGATGTCCATGGGTTTATTTGACTACTTTTAGAAACAAACACAGTTAATAGTATATCACGTAACTTCAAGGTTATTATTTAAACTTACTCATTTATACTTTTTACTTTGAATAGTTTATTTTATTAAGATCCTTATTATCAGAAGTCAAACTGATTTTTTGTTAAAACCAAAAATATTAACCAAATTCTGAATTAGTAAGTTTGCAAAATGCATGAACTTTTTAGTAAAACCAACTGTAAAATGAGGCCATGCTTTGGAATCTATTCAAAATCCAATTGTCCCACAAATAAAAAGAAAATGCTATTATAAAGTTGGAAAGGTTTAATTCCCTGTATCAATGTGCTCATCAAACTCAGTTTAGGAAGCCCAAGAGCATAAATGGAACAAGTTTTTCACCACTTTTGAGAAATTGTTAGAAGGGGAGGGGAAGACAAAAGGTGGGTGAGGGAGGCTTCTCCCTCCAATTTAGGATGGAAATATATTTTACACAACCATCAACTTAAACTGGAGAAAAAAGGTTACATGATATATTCAGAACTGAAAAGAAAAAATCCCCTATAGTAATTAACGAATGCAAAGGTATTCATGGGAAGTCTCTTTGAAGATTCATTATGTCTTTCAAAGAATATCTATCAGGGGCACCTGGGTGGCTTAGTCGGTTAAGAGTCTGACTTTCGCTTTGGTCATGATCTCGCAGTCTGTGGGTTCGAGCCCCGTGTCAGGCTCTGTGCTGACTGCCAGCTCAGAGCCTAGAGCCTGTATCAGAGTCTGGGTCTCCCTCTCTCTCTGACCCTCCCCTGCTCATGCTGTCTCTCTCTCTCTCCTAGAAATAAATAAAACTATTTAAAAAAAAAAAAAAGAATATCTATCAATCATGGCTCATAATTACCTTGATTGGTTTTCTTACCTGTATCAGAAAGGTGGTTGGTCTTACATAGGAGATCTAATTTTCGGTTCCACACACATAGGTCATTCCCACCAGAGAGCCAAACATCTAGTCTCTGAAGAACAATTAAGCACTGCAAAATTCATTTGAAATATCTATCAGTTTAGAATTTCAAGCATTCATTGGTGGTTTTTAAATATGTCCACAAGTTCTTTAATATCATTCTTTAAAAGGTGGAGTTTAAGTTTCCCTACCTTGAATGTGGGCTCTACTAAGTGGCCTCTATTGGAGAGAATGTAGCAGAAGGGAAGGTATGTGACTTACAAGACTAAATCATATATAACAAGGCGGCTTCCTCCTTGCTTTCGCGGATCACTCTAGGGCAAACACACAAGCAGCCATATGGAGAAAGATGCATATGCAAAAAAATGAGTCCCCTGGACAAAAGCCAGCACTAACTTACCAATCATATGAGTCTCCTAGGAACTTCCAACCCCAATCAAGCCTTCAGATGACAGCAACCTCATTATACACACTGAACCAGAACTACTCAGCTAAGCTGCTCTTACTCCTGACTAGAAACACTGAGATAATATTTACTGTTTTAAGCAACTAAATTTAGAGATAATTTGTTACTCAGTAATAGATAATACACAAGACTTAAACTTCCTTTAAAATAAAACTGAATCTATGACCTTCATTTTTATGTAACTCTCAAGTTAGGAATTCCTAATTCTTGATTTAGGAAAATGAGTACTTCGTGTCTACAGAAGTCCTTTATCTTTAACAGTACTTCAAGTCCACACCTTTAATTATGCTTTTCCCACCCATGACTCTGAGTGAGTAAAAGGACAACAGTGAGAGAGAAGAATAAAAAAGAAAAGGAAAAGATTCTGGTAGTCTTGTCTAAGCTTTTTAAACTACTGGAATAAAAAGGGTTAAAAATAATCAATGCAGTTTCTATTATAAGAATCCCTACCCTAATTTCTGAAGTTTAATGTATCAGTATTTTGTTCCTTTTTATTCCTTAATATTCCACTGTGTGGATACAGCACATCTGTCCATTCTCAGTTGGTAGACATTTAGGTTATTTCCACTTTTGGATTATTATGTATAGTGCTGCCATGAACATTCATCACGTACAAGTCTTTGTGTGGACATACATTTTCATTTCTCTTGACAATGAAACAGGAATACCTAGGAGTGAGACTTTTGGGCCAAACGATAACTCTGGTTAACATTCTGATGAGCAAACTACTTAAGGCTATACCATTTTACAATTCCACCAGCAATGTGTGAAGGTTCCAATGTCTCCACATCCTTATCAACACATATTACTGCCATCTAGTGTAAGAGAAATAGTATTATGGTTTTGACTTGCATTTCTCCAATAACTAATGATGTTGAGTTTTTCACATGTTTATTGGCCATCTGTATATTTCTTTGGGTAAATGGTTTTCAAACTGTCTACTTTTAATTGGATTACTTCTGTTTATTATTGAGGGGTTTATTTGACAGAGCACACATGTGCATGAGTGGGGGAGGGGCAGAGAGAGAGGGAGAGAGACAATCCCAAGCAGCCTCTATGCTGTCAGCAGAGAGCCTGATGTGGGTCTTGATCCCATAAACCATGAGATCATGACCTAAGCCAAGATAACGAGTCATACTCCAACGACCGAGCCACCTAGGTGCCCCTTTATTGTTGTTTTAAGAATTCTTTATGTATTTGGAATACAAGTTCCTTATCAGATACATGATTTACAAATATTTTCTCCCATTCTATGAGTTGTCTTCTCACCTTGACAGTGTCCTAGAAAATAAAAAGCTTTTCATTTTGATGAAATCTAATTTATCACTTCTTTTGTTTTGTTACTGTGTTTCTGATATCATATCCAAGACCCCCAATCCAAGATCAAAAATATTTACTCCCATATTTCTTCCAAGAGTTTTATAACTTTAGCTCTCAAATTTTGATCTTTGATCCATTTTGAATTAATTTTTATACGTGGCATGAAGGAGGGATCCAAATTCATTATTTTGTATGTGGATATCCAGTTGACCCAGAATCATTTGCTCAAGAGACTATTCTTGCTCTTTCTGAAAAGTCTTGGGATCTTGTTGAAAATTAAACACTTAAATGAGGTTTTATATCTGGACTATCAAATATATTCCACTAATCTGTATGTCTATCATTATGCAGAACCACACTATCTTGATTATAACTTCATAGTAAATTATGAAATTGGGAAGTTTAAATCCTTTTTAAAAAAAATTTTTTTTAATGTTTTTTAATTTATTTCTGAGAGAGAGAGAGAGGGACAGCATGAGCAGGGAGGGTCAGAGAGAGAGAGGGAGACACAGAATCTGAAACACGCTCCAGGCTCTGAGCTGGCTGTCAGCACAGAGCCCGACGCGGGGCTCGAACCCACAAACCGTGAGATCATGACCTGAGCTGAAGTTGGACTCTCAACCGACTGAGCCACCCAGGTGCCGCTGGAAAGTTTAAATCTTGTAAATTGGTTCTTTATTCTCAAAACTGTTTTAGTTACTCTGGGATCCTTGTACTTCTATATGAATATGAGGATCCTAGGGCACCTGGGTGGCCGGTTAAGTGTTCAACTCTTTATTTCAGCTCACATCATGATCTCACAGTTAGTTCGTGGGTTCAAGTCCTGCATCAGGCTCTGTGCTGACAGCACACAGCCTGCTTGGGATCCTCTCTGCCCTTCCCCTGCTCAGAATCTAAATCTCTTCTCTCCTTCTCTCAAACAAACATTAAAAAAAGAAAGAAAGAAATGCTTTGAATGTGAGGATCAGTTTGCCAATTTCTGGGGGTTGCGGGGGGTTGGGAAGAAGGGACTCATGCTGGGCTTTTGGTGGGGACTGTGTCCAATCTGCAGATCATTTTGGGTAGTAGTGCTGCAATCTTAATATTAAACCTGATCTATGAATATGGAATGACTTACATTTCTTTAGATTTTATTTCAAAAAATGTTCTGTAGTTTTTAATGTACAACTCTCATGTTTCTTCTTTACATTTGTTTCTAACTACTGTATTCTTTCGGATACTACTGTAAATTCATTTCATTTTCTTAACTTTTTTATTTCATTTTTGGATGTTCATTGTTGGTGTACAGGAATATACTTAATTTCTGTATATTGATATTGTATACTGAAACCTTGCTAAATCCATTTATTAGTTCTAATAGTTTGGTTATGAATTTAGGATTTAATATATAAATCATATCACTGTGGATATAGTTTTATTTCTTCCTTTCCAATATGGATGTCCTTTATTTCTTTTTTATTGCCTGTAACACTGAATAGTGCCATCCTTGTCTTATTCCTGATCTCAGGAGGAAAAGTATTCAGTCTTTTGCCATTAATATGATGTTAGCTCTGGGGTTTTCATAAATGCCCTTTATTAGGCTGAGGAAGTTCTCTATGCTTAGTTTGTTGACTATTTTTACCATGACAGGGTGCTGTCTGTTAAATGCTTTCTCGGCATCGATTCAAATGATCATGTTTTTTGTCCTTTATTCTTACTATGGTATGTTATAGTTACTGATTTTTCCCATGTTTAACTGTGATAAGTCTCATTTGACATAGTGTAGAATGTTTTTATATGCTGTTGATATGAACTGCCAGTATTTTGTTAAGGGTAATATACTTCTTTTACTACTTAATATCTTATCAGAATTTTCCAAACTTCTTATGAACTCTCTGAAATACCATTTTTACAATATGTATCTATTGTAATTTAACTATTTTCCTGTAATATATTTAGGAAATTGCCAATCATCCATTTTAAATTTTCATTAATAATGCTAAACTGCTTGCCAGGAATATCATCAATTTAATAAAAATGCTAACTTCATGTTTCCTTGCTAACATGAACCCTTATAAAAACTATTAGCTCAAAAAATAAATAATAGTATTTCTTATACTTATTAGGGATCTGCAACTCTTTGATAAATTATGTTAAAGAATTGAACCATTTAAATAAAATGAGTGAAGTACTACTTTTAAACAATGTCTTATGCGAAACGTGATCACAGCATAGGTATATATACTATCTAGCAGACTAACATAATAAAACCTCTTTCACCATACCAAAATAAGACACTTCTTCATGATCAGTTCCTATAAACAGTTCACAAATCAGTTCACCAAAGGAATTTGTCCAAAATATACCAAACTTTTCTCCTGTTTTCCTATTCCCTATTCCTTCAATTCATGTATTTTCACTTGAAACCTAATAGCCTAAACTAGCAAAACTATTTTTAAGGAATTTTAAAGAAGCATCTTTTCAGATCACATAAAACAGAAATTTCCATCAAATCAGTATTTTAATAACTTCCTCAAAGACAATCTATTGTTAAGTTGGATACAAGCATTTCTGGGCACTTTATTCCCCCAGAAACTCCACTAAATTTATAATGAATAATAACACAGTAGCACGAGATGGCTACCAGAGATGCTGCCTTTTAGGAAAAAAATCAAATACTATGAACACTGCAACACAGCAATTCTTTTTACATTAAAAAAAAAAGTGTTAGCTCAAATACAGAGACAAGTTTTCTTTAAAATAAGTAAGATGAGGCACCTGGGTGGCTCAGTTGGTTACCATCTAGGTGCCTCATCTTACAAAAGCATCGAATTTTTGATTTCAGCTCGGGTCCTGGTCTCATGGGTTCATGAGTTCAAGCCCCATATGCCTGCAGGGGATTCTCTCTCCCACTCTCCTTGCCCCTCCCCCGCTCTCTTTCAAAATAAACAAAAACTTAAAAAAATAAAACAAATAAGGAAACATCACATTTTACAAGACTCTTTCCCTAAACTTGCTGACATTATTGAAAAACTGTGGCACTTTCTAAGAACACCTAAGAATATCTTCTGTAGGAATCCAAGTAACCAAATCTTCAAATTTGTTTCTCCATCATGTGGCAGAGTTCCTATCATGTACTAAGCCTCAATATTATTTGTTTGTAAAATGTATGAACCTAATAGTAGCAGCCAATAAGTCATACAACAGTTCTTTGGAACTAAGTAATTGGTATGTCTTATCTTCATGACCTTATAAAAGGCAGGACAAATAAATCGATGTTTTTAGTTCAAAGTATAAAGAAAATGGACTACCTACTGCTATAGTTATTCTACAAGTAGTATCTTTTCCTAGAATTACCTACAAAAAACATACTAGGTACTATCCTTTTCCTTATCTTACTATATATTCACCCCTTGATCTTGTTCCAAATTCAAGGATTCCAACATTTAATATATATGCTCCCCAAAATCTAGTCTTATAAGAATCAAATGACTATAGGCATGTATAAAAGAAGTAATTTTTAAAACCTACAAACGTAACTTCATCTATTTATTAAACATTTTTTTTTTCTGAGACAAAAAGATTATTACCATAAAATATCAGCTTAAGTTTTTACCTTTACAGTAGACTGGAAGCATGATACTTTCTGAACTTGTCTGCCAGTATCACAATCCCATACCTAAACTTATGTTAAGAAATAATTTCTAAATAAAACATTAAAATCTAAGTTAAGAAATGTTTTATAATAATTAAATCACAAATATTACAAACATACTTAGGTAAAAATATCTTTAAATAAAGTATAAAATATTTACCATCTATACTGTTGCTAAAATTAATTCATGTAGTGAATTATCAGGTTAGCATATCAAGCTTATAATCTAAAATAAGTTTTAATAAACAGTGAACATAAAGTATACTAAAAACTACCAGTTCCATTAATTTTTTTTTTTTTTTTTTTTTTTTTAAATTTCTGAGAGACAGAGACACAGCGTGAGCAGGGGAGGGTCAGAGAGAGGGAGATACAGAATCTGAAACAGGCTCCAGGCTCTGAGGTGGCTGTCAGCACAGAGCCCGACGCGGGGCTCGAACCCACAAACCATGAGATCATGACTTGAGCCGAAGTCGGACGCTTAACCGACTGAGCCACTCAGGCGCCCCAGTTCCACTAATTCTTAATGAAAGCTCCTTCAACATGCATGGCATGATTTACTACTGTTATACTGACTGACAAAAGCCAGTAACAGTGTATTACTTGTACATATTCTTAAAATAATTAGAGGACCTCCCTTAAGTGTCCAAGGTTAGTTTGACTTAAAGAGTATAACCATTTTCAAACTTTTCATCCCATTTCCTGTGGTAACATATGCATTCTTCATCACGTCGGAGCACACATTTACATACATTCTTTCATATATATATATACACACACACATGCATATGGATAGACTGTTAAGACTATCATCTGACATCGCTTCTCAGCATTTTGGCTAAGATCAAGTGAAGACTATCACCTGACAAAAATTAAAAATTCATCTTCAGCATTTAATTAATTTTGTTAATAGTGGAGGCTCAAGCAGCCTGGAACTGGATTTTTAACAAGAAAATTCATTTTGTGAAGCAAATGACTCTATGCCATCATTCACAAGTAAAGTTCATGCTGATACTGTCTCAGCTACTCATCTGTGTACTATAATAATTTACTAAGTGATTTTAAATATTATTATAGTACTTTAGGAATGGTCTTATAAAAACAAAGCGTTTTAAATTCTATTTTTGGAGATTATACTGATACTAAAAGCATAAAGCTTTAGTGCCTAAGCTAATATTTGGCTCAATAGAACAGTATTAATAAAGTTATTCTGACCTAAACATATGTAATATTGTTTATGCGATATTGTCATCACCCCAAAATACAGTTTACCACATGTAGATCTTACCTGGAATTTCTTCACCTACTGACAATGTGTCTAGAAATCACTTGAGTGAATGAGCTCATTTAAAGTGAGTCATAAGGTTTGTCCTGGTTGTACAGAAGCCCAGGAAACATCTACTTCTTTGGACTTACTCTAAAACTAACTTCACTAATGGCTGAAACTACTTAAAACAGAATTCTCAGATATGCACAAATAATTTAAAGTTAATCTTTTTTTTTTTTAAATAAGTAAAGATTACAGTTTCCATAAGGCTTTCTTAAATTTAATTCCTCATACAAATATTAAAGACTGAATTTAAGGAAAATCTTTTATAAAGCTAGTATTATATAACAGTTTAGAGTTCTGACTGTGCAGATTGCTTGCTTTCTGCCCTACAATGTCTGTGATATCTAGCGGCAAGTTACTTAACCTCTCTGTGCCTCTCTTCTCTGTAAATGAGAATAAAATTACTTATTGTAAGAATTAAATGGGTTAATGTAATGCATGTAAAAATATATGTAATATATGTTAAATAGAACAATGCCTAGCACACACAAGCACTCTATAAAACATTACTGCTGTTATTTTTACCTTTAATTTCTACCTCAAAGTATGGAGGGAAGATAATTTACTCTTTTAAAACTGCTTTTACCCCTTGTTCCTCCATCAATCTTGAATGCTGACAAAAACTGAGGACTGATGGATGTGGGGGGGAGGGGGGATGGGCATGGAGGAGGGCACTTTGGGGATGAGCACTGAGTGTTATGTGGAAACTAATTTGACAATAAACTATTTGTAAAAAAAAATAAATAAATAAAAAAATAAAAAAAAAAGGAATCTATTCCTGAAAAAATAAATAAATAAAACTGCTTTTAAATGCTAAGTATTAATATTAAACACTGAGGAGATGGTAATTCACTTTTCTGCCAGACTCAGATGCTCAAAGGGTTCTTACGGGTTGGCACCATTACATTTCTTTTGCTGTACAATGCACTATAGAGGTAAATGTGAATTATTCGCCAGTCCCACTCATCTTTGTTTCTCTAAATTGAAAAGCAAACTGAGATAAATAAGTACTTTTAAGCCTAAATTTTCCCAATTTCTCCATTTTATATAACTTGATATAATAGTAACTCTGGAAAGAACAGCTTTAGTTATGGGGTTTCCATCAATAATAAGCCTTTAACCTATTTCCAGTCTAATACGTTCAGGTGCCTAATACTTTTAAGAAGTGTACTGTGAAAGCTAGAGCAAAATCATTTTTGCTAAAATCAATGTACAGACAGGCCCCAAAAGGCTAAAACTAATAATGTATGTACTGGTCCCTTGGGTCACTACAGCTATTTCACTTTCTTCCAGATTTAAGGATATAATAACTGTTCTATCAGCAGAGGCTGTCAAGACCAGTTGATTCTTCTCTTCACAAACTTCCAAGGAAGGAAATGTAATAATAGCTGTTATCTTCTGAGTGTGTCCATTAAGTTCCAGAAGTTTTTCTCCTGTCTGAAATAACAATAAAAATTTTAATAGGTTCATAATATATTCATAACCCAAATAATCTTAAATTACAACATTAAAAAGAATCACCATATAGAAAATACATAATTCCATTTTTAATTACTTAGATGTTATAATTTAACCTTAAGCAATCAAATAGAATCTAAACAGGTACTGGAAAAGTGGACATAAATAATTTATTTGCTAATAGAAAATTTTTAGCATATTTTAACATGAAAATTTAAAGGAATATTTTTTCTATATGGTTTTAAGACCTGTGTAAATTAAGCATAAAAATATTAGTGAGGACACTTGTGGGGATGAGCACTAGGTTTTATATGGAAACCAACTTGACAATAAACTATTTAAAAATAAATAAGTAAAATCCAAATTAAAAAAAAATATATTAGTGAATGATCTATAGAAAAAAATAGGGAGTCCTTATTATGTAAGTATGTAAGTTTCCACAGCTAAAATGCTGAAGGAAATAAAAGTTAGATGACAACAGAATATATATATTATATATTTATCCAATAATATATCAATCACTCATAAAGTCAGTCTCCACTACATCTCTAACACCAAGAGCTATTCCTACCCATCCAATGTCTTCATGTATCAGTCTCTCACTGATTTTCCCAAGCAGTAAACATATAAAAATCCAAAGTAAATATAACATAAATTGCAAATCTTGGTTCCAAGGTTGCAGGATTTCATTAATGTGGTAAAAATAATGGTAAATAATTGCTTTAATCACAGGCAAAGCCACTGATAAATAAGGATCTGACAGAGTCAGACCAGATACAAATCCAAATAACAGTGAGAAAATAAATGCTTCAAAAGGAGAATAATTTAAGTATCAAAAGATCAGAAAAAGAGGTCCTGGAAAAATGTGATGAGGCTTTAAATATTTTTGACAACAAATATTAGTCTTATTATATTACTACTTAAGTCAAACATGAGAATAATATATTATCATTCAATTTTGAAATAAAAATCCTATCTCCCACAAAAATCAACACTTAATTCATTTTCATAATCAGTGCAGAGTTGCTGATAAATTTTGTTGAAAAGATTAAAACTTTTTTTTTGTAATTTGGCATTTGTTTCTCTGGGAAAAGAATCTTAATTAAAAACCTTTCTCTATTACGAAATATTGATCCCCCTTTTAAAAGGATTTATCCTAAGCAGACTTTCTAAAGTACCAATTAGTCTTGTTATACTGCTATGCAGGTATATATCTAGATAGTGTTTATGAATGCAAACTCAACTATACAGTCAACTCTTTAAGTTTTGTTGTTTGGTTTGGTTTTGGTTTTTAATGTGAATGAGTAAGAGAAAGAAAAAGAGAGAGAGAGGGAGGGAGGGGCAGTGAGAGACAGAGAATCCCAAACAGGCTCGGCACTGTCAGCACAAAGCCCGACACAGATATTGATCTCACCAACTATGAAATCATGACCTGAGCTGAAATCAAGAGTCTGATGCTTAACCAACTGAGCCACCCCTATAGTCATGTCTTTATTACACAATTGACATAGAATTTTTAATACACACCTGGGCATTCCACACAACTACAATTCCATCATCACCAGCAGATGCAAATCTGGGTAGAGAAAAAAGGTAAAACAAAATCTCTGGTGACATTTATTAGCTAAAGTTACTTAGAACTATCAGAATTTATTAATGGTATTTTGACTTACTAATATTGATGCAGTTAAGGTAAAGTAATTCAACAAATATTTATGGAATACCTTCTAGGTTTTAGGCCAGGTACCGAAGATGCAAAAAGAAATAAAACCATTCACAGAGTTACAATGAACCAATGATTAGAACTGTAAGAATGAGGGAGACCTATAAATAATCTTTTAAGTCCTTCCTGGCTTTAATTATATGATTAAACCCTGACTTAAATGACAGGAAACTAAGCTGAGGAAGAGCTTCACTTGATAGGAAAGGATATTCCAAGAGTGGAATGAAGGAATAATTTTCTTAGATAAGTTCATTATTTCTATTATTTTCTCTGTAAAGATGTTTTAATCAATTTCTTACTTAAAGCCAAGATCTCTCCTTTGTTCCTCGTAGCTCTTGGTCTTCCATGTAAATACCGTGTTCTTAGTTTGGAGGCTTTGAGGTTTTTGGAGGGTTTTTATTTTTTTAGTGAAAATGCTTGAAATGCAAAAAGGTAAAGGAAAGTTTGCTTGCTGGCATGAAAAGAGAGCTGTGATGAACCTAGTTATAGCTTCTCTGTCCTCTTTACTTCCCATTCACTACACATAAAGGAATAATTATCTATATTTTGTAGAGTAGAAGTTATCCATGATAAAAACACTGTGAAGAAAAGTAAGTGGTTACACAGGATTACTCATCATAGTGACTGCATTATAATAAAATCAAGAAGGCACTATTCTCAAGCAATGTCCCAACACAATGGTATACAGCAATCACAGTGTAAGCATATCAAGTAATTTGTTCTTAATAATGTATGTAAGTTTGTAAATGATTCTTTAATGAATCAAAACTGATCCAAAGTTGTTCTCATAATATCATTTTTATACATGTGAATTCAAGGTTTGCTTTCTAAATAGGAGAGAGAAAAGTGGTATTATAGAAAGCCAGCTATGAACGGTGTATAACTGGCCCCTTATAGTTAACAACCATTAATAAATGATAATCCATTAGCAGCTATGCGATTTAGAAAACATGTTCTTCCTTGCAAAACTGTTAGTGGGTGTCACAAAATCTGGATATGCCTTGAATGTCTTCATTAAAGTAAACATTGCTAAGCACAGATGTCTTTCATTGGAGGAACTGACACACTATGACACAAAAACTATTTTGTTCCTGAGGTTATCTATTTCAATGAATTTTACCACTATATGAGATCAATAAAATCTCACTACGTCAGTCATATAACAATTTACTTAACATTGCAAACTAAACTTCAAATTCTAATCTGTCATGCTCAGTTTCAAAGTCCCATAAGTAACTGCTACCTTCGCTGGCTCTGACAATTCCCATACTCAGCACTAATTTCAAAGTCCTTCAATTACATCTTCTACTACAGGAGCTAAGAGATTATCCAGGAGATGGGAAATTGGTCAAATACATTCTTACCAAAGTCTATTAATAATTTTTTAATATAGAACTACGCATCTTTTTAATGGAAAGAACCTTCATAACTTCCTGGTAACTAGTGAGAAATCACCTGTAGTTATTTTTAAATCCATACCTAACATTTATTCTTATTTCAAAAAGAAATATATAAATGATCTGGAGATTTAAAAGAAAGCAATTATTTTTAAATTAAAAAGACAATTTATTTCATAACATACATTTTTCTAAATCAGAATACTAAACAATGCCTGAGAACCAAAAATAGGTGCTGGACGTCAATCTTTAATAGGTTATGTTTCTAGGCCTATTGATTTCTTTTTATTTGTATAGTGATGGTGGGGAGGCAAGACTCAAGGTCTTAAGTTTTCTTTGGTATAAAACATCAATTTCTATTGATTCTTGAAACTCTTATAATTGCTTTTCTCCTTTCTAGAAGACTGCAGGTTTAAAATACATACTTTTTCTAACCCTGATTTTTAACTTCTCATTATTGTTTTATCATGTCTGAATCTCATGAGTTCACAATGAGAGATGATTGAACGGTTGAGAGTTTAGAAATGAGATATAGGGCATTTCACCTCAAACTTTAATTCAATCAGTAGTGAACAAAAGTTAAATCTAAACAATGCTCAATAGTAATGCATGAAATCACAGCCAATTTTTTATTGCTCAGAGGTCAATTACCTAGTTGGTGGATTATTCAGGCCTTTCAATTTTCTTATATACTCTATTGCTGCTTCTTTCTTTCTTTCTTTCTTTCTTTCTTTCTTTCTTTCTTTCCTTTCTTTTCGTCATTTCAGTATTTATTATTACCTCCTCTAAAGAGAAAACATAAAGCTTAAAAATACAAATCAATATAACTTTGCTACATATAAGTATCACCCATAAAATAACAAATAAAGGGTTGGAAGATCATTCACAAATTATAATTATCCATGTCATTAAGATGGATAATTGAAAACTAGCTACACTTTATCAGTTTATCTTAAAGTAAATCAGTTTATCCTAATCATTCAAGTACACACTTCAGCCATCTGCAAATTAGAAATGAAAATTCAACTCAGGAATTCCTAATAGTAAGATACACTGTAATTGCTAAAAAGAAGTAATCAACTATAAAAAAGGAGTAACTGCAATGCCCACAAGGTTTAAGTTATTCAGTAGAAGGAAGAATTATGACTATATTGAATCAAAATTATATATAATAATTTTTAAAACATTCTAAATTAATAGAATCCAAAGATTCATATCTAAAGATAAGGTTTTAAGAGAAATGCTTCTTTACTGATCACATAAAATGTATTTAGTGAGATTCACGCTAGGTGATGGAAATGTCAAGATTACATGTGGTTCTTGCTTAAAGATCTTAAGATTCAGTGATTGTTTAGAAATGTACTGTACTTTATCAAATCTAAAATATCATCAATTGTAAGACATTCTATTATTTTATGTACTTTAAGATAAAAATACTGCCAATTATAACTGAATGACACCATTAGTTATATAAAGATTCCAAATTTTAGAGAGGTTAAAATAGGAAAAAATAGGCTTCTTAGAATAAATGAAATATAATAATTGCCCTATTTATTAATGTTTATAACATGGCACTGCCAATTATAACTGAATGACACCATTAGTTATATAAAGTTTCCAAATTTTAGAGAGGTTAAAATAGGAAAAAATAGGCTTCTTAGAATAAATGAAATATAATAATTGCCCTATTTATTAATGTTTATAACATGGCACTTTCTGGACCAACAGAACTCTGATTATCTCCAGCAGGTTTAAAGCACTAAAGAAATGTTTTTTCAATGAAAGAACAAATGAATCAACTAGCTAACATTTAAACGTTGCAGGGCTCTGTAAAATAGATGATCATTCAGTTTATTAATATAACCTCACTTTTTCCTTGTATCATTGTTAATGTATCTACTGTCACAACAAGAAGTAAAATTAAAGAAATTTAAAATCTAGAATCCCACTCCACACATGAAATTCCTTTTATTTTTTTCATGTTCCTGTTCCATACTTAGGTATATCCTTCAACTTGAAACCACGTCTTTAAAAATACTGACTATACAATTAAAATACTAAGCAAAAAAACTATATGCATGAAAAGAAGTTTAAACAAGGTAAAGCATGATTTAATGAAGACCTATAAAAGATCTTCTAGAACGTCCCATCCTTTCCTTCCCTAATCATGAGAAATAAATTTACTGTAGTAGTTGATGATTCACTCATTCATTCAAGAAATATTTATTAAACACTATATATTAAGCATTAAATATAACATTTTGATAATACATATTTGATACTGAAAGTAAAGATCAGAAGGATAGTTCTTACCCCTGAAGAACTCAGTCTACATTACTAAGTAATGTTATAGGGGCCAGATCATTGTTATAGGGTCCAGATCATGAATCCATAGAGAATTCTCATTTATACTCATTTCAACTTATAGAAATTATTCATTAAAAAAATTTTTTTAATGTGTATTTATTTTTGAAGAAGAGAAGACAGAGCATAAGCATGGAAGGAGCAGAGGAAGAGGGAGACACAGAATCTGAAGCAGGCTCCCAGCTCCAAGCTATGAGCACAGAGCCCAATGCAGGGCTTGAACCCATGAACCAAGATCATGAGCTGAGCCAAAGTCGCATGCTTAACCGACTGAGCTACCCAGGTGGCCCCAGAAACTATTCCTTTCAAAGGAAGGTGTTTAACTTTCCCTTGGAACATCTCAGAGAAAGTGCTCTCATTCTTGCCAACTGTGAACTGAAAGGTACAGCAAAGCTTCACAAAGATTTGTATAAAATATTTTCACAAGAATTCCTATGTCTATTACCTAAGTGCTTATTTAATAGTTCTTATTCATTTGCATTTATTTCAATTAAGTCAAAGGTGCTACAGATTCAAATATAACCTTAGAGGATATCATGAAAAGTACAGTCCATAAACCTGTACATAAACTTTCTTATATTTAATATCTACATAACCATAAAGCACTAGAAAAAAAATAATTATGGCAATACAGAAAATCCTTGTGGTTATCTAACTTCCCACATAATCCACAAATACTTTCTAATACATGATCCAACTAAAGTAGTATACATTTTTTACAAGAGAGTTGAAAAATTGTACTACAATATGAAAACCACACACAACTGAAAATATACAAAGCTTTAACTTAAAATAGAGTTTTACTGGGGTGCCTGGGTAGCTCAGTCAGTTAAGCATCTGACTCTGGATTTCGTCTCTGGTCACCATCTCACTGTTAGTGAGTTGGAATACCTCACTGGGCTCCGCACAGGCAGTGAAATCTGCTTTGGACTGTCACTCTCTGTGCCTCCCCTGCTCATGCTCTCTCTCAAAAAAATAAATAAACTTAAAAACATAAAAAAACAAAATAGATTTTTACTTATCTTTTTATGCTAGAACTACTTGAAGAAAATCAGAGAAGTATGTGGAGACTGAGAAGTAAAAGGGAACTTG